AGGAGGAAAAATGTATGACAAAAAAATGATATGTAAAATAACAATTTTAACATTCACCATTCATCATATTTTTATTTGTATTAGGATATTATTGTAAAATGCCTTAAATTTGATATTTTTTGTTCACTTTTCTTTCTCTTTTACTAAACAACATGAGAGAAAATCATTTTACTTCCTTCACATAAGTATTTTACTTCTCTTTCCTTCCTCTTTTTTATCTATCCTACCAAACATAGCATATGTGAGATAGAGACTTTAAAGCTGAGAAATATTGTATTTTTTCTTTTTCAATATTAAAAGTTTAGCGATAGTTTTTTAGGGGAAGTATTAGCAATATATGTGTGCTCGTATAGATGTTTGTGTATATGTGTGTGTGAAAATCATGTCTCTTGGATGGAATTCCAATACATATAATTTTTTTTCTCCTCACCATCAACTGCTATTCCTCACCAAAATCTACACAATCACTTGAATCGTGATGTACTGTTCCAGTCTTCCGTTGAAGAGTTAAGAGTTAGTTACACCTTTCGGAGTTTGTTAATGCCTTCATTAAGACCAAAACATCATCATTAAATTGTTCATAATCCGAACATACCATATCAGTCACCCTTGACACCTTCTCATTTATTACGAGACGCTTGATTCATGGATTATAATCATGATATTAGAATCATTTTTAATTTACGTATATTTTTTATGAGAGAAAACATTATAACGAACCATGAACAATGAACTGTTCATAATCCGAACCTACCATATCAGTCACCCTTGACACCTTCTCATTTATTACGAGACGTTTGATTCATGGATTAGAATCATGATATTAGAATCATTTTCAATTTACGTGTATTTTTTATGAGAGAAAATACTGTAATGAACTATGAACAATGAGCCATGATTCTTTTTGCTATGAGAGCATTAGCATTACTAGTAGGTTTATCACCATGGACTTGTTGAGTCCCTATAACTTCGTTATCTTCCTCCATCCCTATAATATAACTTCATTTCCAAAAAGATGCTTTTGGTTTCCTGGGTTCAAAAGCCGTTTCAGTAAGCTTTTGGATGATATGTCAAAAAAAATTTCTGTCAAAATCACAAGATTTCTTAAAAAAGCTCTTCTAAATGAAATTTAAAACTTGTACCAGAAATTCAAATAAGACATTTTTAAACTTTACTCTAACATTATTATTGCTTATAAGACCATCCTTAATGCAAAAGGTAATGTTAACTGTATATTTAACATAAAAAAGTTTGATATGGTATTTTATTTTTATTTTTATTCTAATGTATAACACTATTTAAAATGTTAAATTTATTTTTTTCTATAATTATTAAACTTTAAAAATTGTAACATTTATTTTAAATTAATTTAAAAATGTAAAAGTAGCAATGATTACATGAAAAAGTAAATATTTTAACTAATAGTAATCAAATGTCAAATTTTTTATGTGCTATACTTGATAGAAAATTTGTCATAAAATATAGCATATGAGATATTTGACATAATAAATAGTATTGTATTTAAAAGTATTTTTTACACTTAAATATTAAATTTACAATTAACATATTAATTATAACATTGTATTGAATATGCTCTAAACGAATTGAAAAACCGCGTTATGGTTTCAAAAACTTATTGAAAAGTCAGTTTCACTGAATAGACAAGTATGTTTCTATCGTACAAGACTCCGCTAGAAGACTTGTAATGAGGGTAACTCGACTGGTTTCTAAAATAAATCAAGTTCCAACAATCTCATAATCATTTGTCCACAAACCATAATAATAAATAATCAACCAGCCATAATATAAAACTCTAATAGGGTCATCATGCGCTGTAAAATGGTGAGAAAACAACATAAATTACACGAAAATCATCTAAAATATTTAAAACATTATCACAAAAGTAAACTTAACTAAAACCTAATCAAAATATATTCATAAAAATTGTCAACAGATTAAATACACATTTCTAGCAACACTACAACAACTACTATACATATCTATAAAGCCTAGAAAATTGCTAATTAAAAGATATTTACAATATTATTAAAAAAAATTATAAACCAATCAAACTCGAGAAAAGTATACAAATATTTCATAAAAGAGTCATCTATATATTTTGATACTTTGCATTTTGAATTATTTAGAAAATATATCCTCGACTTTCAATCTTTGCAAACATATACGATTAGATTGCATTTAATAAGCAAACTTAAACATTTTCTTAGTCAATAGTCAATTTTAACTAAGAAATTGTGGGAAGAAAAAGCCTAATGGCCTGTTTGTTTAGTGGGTTCATACTCACTTGGTTTTGGTTCAAACAGTATTTTCTCTTATAAAAAAATTAAATTTAAAATTTTTATTAAAATGTTTTCTCTCATAAAATTTAAACTCTGGTTCAAATCATTGTTTTGAATCCATTTAGTTTCCTTCATTGTTTGGCTGGAGAAATAAGAAAGTAACAAAGCTTGTAGAATACGAAAGGGTGGAAGGGAGCAACATTCTGCACAGCTAAATGCCGGGTAATTTATGGATGAAAAATTGGGGCATGTTTGGAATGTATACTTAAATCATGATTTGTGTTTATTTGTGAGAATTTTGTGAGAAAAAATTTTAAAATTCAAACTTTTTATGAGATAAAAAACACAATAGCAAATCAAGATTTGAATTTGAGCATTACTTCCAAACAACTCTTAGATTTCATAAGCGATACTGGACATAACTTATATCTAAATGCCTCACGTGAGAAGCTCAAGCACTATGCTGTTTCTTTATCACTAATTAGACATGCTACGAGGGATTAGGACCTAATTGACAAACTTAATCAACATGAGAACTAACTTACTAAAATAAAAATTTGACAGAATTACTAAAATGTGAAAAATATAAGAAATTGGATTATTGTCACTAGTGCCTTTAAATTTTAAGATTATTTTCACTTTGTCCTCTGAACTTTAAAAACTCTCATTTTGCCCCTTAAACTTTGAATTGTTCATACTTATCCCCTTTTTTTGTTGTAATTTGTATTATGATTATTATCACTGATGCCTCCTGAACTTTAGGGTTATTCTCAGTTTACCTTCTGAACTTTAAAAACTATCATTTTACCTCCTAAACTTTAAATTGTTTCCACTTAATCCTTCTGTTGTAATTTTTGTTAAAAACAAATATGAAAAAATAAAATAACGCAATCACGTGGTGTTTCTGTTTGAATTTCTGTTAAAAAGAAACAGATAAAATCCACATGACCACACTTAACCCCCTATTTTTCCGTTTGATTTTAAAATAAATTCTAATAAAAGGGGTTAAGTGAGAACAATCCAAAGTTCACGGGGCAAAGTAAGAGTTTTTAAAGTTTAAGGAGCAAACTGTGAATGACTCTAAAATTCAGGGAGCACCAATGAGAATAATCTTTTATATTAAAAATAGATATAAAAAAGAAGAATAACGCAGTCACGTGGTCTTTTTATTAAAAACAAGCAGATAAAAATCACATGACTACAATTAACTCTCTCTTTTGTTGTTTGATTTTAACAAAAATTAGCCTAATTCAAAATGAAAGAGACAAAATGGAAATTTTAAAAATTTAAAGAGTAAAATGAGAATGACTCTAAAATTTAGGAACACTAATCATATTTGATCATAAGGGATATAAATGAGCCTAAAACCCTTTACACTGCACTTAAAAGTAGGGACACCAATCAGATTTAATCATAAGGCATATAAAGGGGCCATACACTACACTATGCATAGGATTAGGAATTCTATTCTTTTTTTGCTTTGTTTTGTTTTTAGATTAATTTCAAAAATTCCTCCTGAATTATGACCCTTATAATACTTTACCTTCTAAATTTCAAAACGTAACATCCAATCCTTCTGAATTTTGTTCCGTTAACAATTTTACCCATTATGTTATTCTGAGTGACAGAATTCGCCACGTGTCCATTATTTAGTGAGATTTACAAGTGAAATTACGCTTATACTTATCTTCATTTAAAATAACTATTCCTCTATGTTCATAAGAGATCACCATAATTGTTCCCAAAAACCAGTTTTCCTTTCCTGACCTCATTCATCCTCTGAATACGCTTTTGAAAGGATTATATTCTTCTGAATTAGGTGTCAAACATTTTTCTTCATCCTTCCTTAACTACTTTTTTTTTTTTTTTTAATTTTATAGGGTTATGAGATGCTTGAGTTTTTCTTTAGACAATATAAAGTTGGATGATCTAGAAACCCGCAATTTTGTCATTGTTGACAGATGTGGATTTGGTGCTTGGTGTTGGTATTACAGCACTTCCAGAAGAAGCAAGTTTCAAACCTTTCACAATATCAATATGTGAAGCCCCTTACTGATTTTTTTTTTTTTTTTTTTTGAAAATCTTGCTGAGAGAGAGAATATAGTTGAAAGTGCAATACATGAGTAGGCTATGACAGTTCAAACTCACCGTCAATAGGATTAAATTCACCAATATTGCCCCATATTGCAATCATTGAGAGTGATTCATAAAAAAATTTACAATAAAGAAGGATTTTGTTTCTTGGACCTTTCTTTTTGGGGGAAAACTTGCAACCCTAATCGACTTGGATTAATCCCTTCTTCATTTTCACATTTGAGTTTTTAATCCCTTCTTCATTTTCACATTTGAGTTTTTAATCCCTTCTTTATTTTCACATTTGAGTTTTTTAATCTTTTTTTTAATAATTTAGGTTTTTTACATGACATTTTACGATATTATCATTCTCAGATGAGTTAAATAATAGATATATAGTGAATTCGGTCACTCAGAGTAATAAATATGATAAAATTATTTACAGAATAAAATTCAGGTGATTAGATATTACATTTTGAAATTCGATGAATAAAGTGTTACAGAAATTCTAATTTAAAGGAAATTTTTGAAATTAATCATTTATTTTTTTTTTTGTTTTTTGCGCTTTGGTACTCATATATAAGGAAACACAAAAAGCAACAAATCTGAGTTGTTTGAATTCCTTATTGCACGTAGCTTCTCGGGACCTGGACATAATAGAAGCTCAACTTTCCTTCCTTGTCCAAACCAAAACCACTTTCAAATCTCTCTCTCCTCTCTCTTTCTCTCTCATCGTCTGCGTAGTCGAATCGAAAGCCGTTTGTTGATCATCTTTCAAAGTAAAGGCCTTTTGAGTTGTCAATGGAGGCCATCAGAAAGCAAGCTACCAGGCTTCGCGAACAGGTCGCCAGACAACAACAGGTGCTCACATTTTCTCTCTCTCTCATTCCGAAAAACCCTAAGTTCAATTTTTCCAGATCCGGTCCTTTGCCAATTTCAAAATTTTCTCATTTATTCTCTCGTTTTCTGGTCATCCAACATTCTGATCGTTTTTGTTTGGTGCTGATCGGACTAGATGCATCATGCATTTGCCTTTTTTTTTTTCTTTTTTTTTTTCGTTTTTACCAAAAATGAAATCTTTCTTTTTTTTTTTTTAAGAAAGAATTTTGATTGTGATTCTTTTTTCCCTGCATAAGGATTTTCTATGACATTAGTTGTTTTTCTGCCTTTGAGTGGCTTAAAAGTTCAATCAAATGATTTATGCGGGGTTTTGGATTGAGTAAATTAGTTATTGTGACAAGGTTTTTTCTTTTCTTTTCCTTTTTTTTTTTTTAACATTTTGGAGAGTTAGCAAAATGGGATGATCATTATGACTGAAAATGTGGTTTCCGATTTTGAATTGTAAGGTAGCAGGCGCATTTAGTTTTGTGCTTGCATAATTACTGGGAAAATTCTGTGTGGGGCGTGAAAAAAAAAAAAAAAAACCGGTAAGACATAGTTTTAGTCCCTCAGATCAGGTTAGAATTATATTAGATTGAAAAAAGTACGATAAATTAACGGCACTTGATAAAAATCTGATGGATCAAAACTGTTGCTACTTTTGTTCTTACTTGATGAGAGAATTCTCCCTATTATTGGACCAATTAGTTTGTATTCTTGGGTCACAAACTTTTGCTCCCATTTGCTTTTGCTGGTGCTGAAAAAGAAAAAACAAAAAAAAAGGTGCCAATGCCTAAATGCATTAAATACTGCTGGTATAGGCTGTCCTAAAACAGTTTGGGGCTGGAGGATATGGAGGTTCAGATAATTTAGTAACCGATGAGGCAGAACTCCATCAGCATCAGAGACTTGAGAAGCTCTACATATCAACACGCGCTGGCAAGGTTGTTGTCTTGTTCTGCTTTTTCTTGTCAATTTCTAATTTTACTCTTCTTTAACTGATCAAAATTTTTCTGTGATAGCATTATCAAAGGGACATAGTTCGTGGTGTGGAAGGATATATTGTTACTGGGTCCAAACAAGTTGAAATTGGTGAGATGATCCAGCTTTTCATTTTTTTTTTTTTTTTTTTTTTCATTTGGCCGGTTAGGTTTTTCCTTATGTGGGTATAATGTCGCTGCCCTGTTTGTTTAACAGGAACAAAGTTATCAGAAGATAGCAGGAAATATGGTTCTGAAAATACTTGTACTAGTGGTGGCACATTAACAAGAGCTGCTCTAAGTTATGGACGAGCTCGTGCCCAAATGGAAAAGGAACGTGGAAATCTGTTGAAAGCTCTTGGCACACAGGTTTGATGAACTTTCTTTACTCACCCAAGTTTACTATAATGTATGTTGCTTAGGGCCAACAAGCCTTTAATGGATGGATTTTTATGTTTTCTGTTTCATACTATTATCTTGCATTGGAATTCGTACTATTTATTTCAGTAGTTTTTTTTTCTTCTTTTCCATTAAGCTTGTCATGGTGAATAACAATGTATATAATATTGGTATTATATGATACATATTAGGTAGCTGAGCCATTAAGAGCAATGGTGATGGGAGCTCCATTGGAGGATGCTAGGCATCTTGCTCAACGTTATGACAGAATGCGACAAGAAGCAGAAGCTCAGGTATTTTCGAATAAAGCTATCTTGCTTGGTTATATGAATATGCTCAGTATATTTCTCGTAATTATTTCCCTTCATTGTTTTAATTTCTCAAACATTGCGTCCACTAAAGAGTCGCCATGCTGTTTACCTAGTTGCAATTACATTTTCTGGATTGGGAAGCATGAATTTTTTTATGTTTGCCAATATGCATAACAAGTCACAGCAAGCCAATATGCATAACAAGTCACAGCAAGCCAAATAATCAAATTAGGACTGTTGATTTATCTTTTACCAGCTTGTAGTTAACCATTTTCATAAACCTAGATAGGCCATCGAAGTTTCCAAACGCCAAGCAAAAGTGAGGGAAACACCAGGTAATCCTGAGAATGTTATGAAACTGGAAGCAGCGGAAGCTAAGCTACAAGACCTTAAGTCAAACATGGCAATATTGGGGAAGGAAGCTGCTGCAGCAATGGCTGCTGTGGAATCTCAACAACAGAGATTGACTCTCCAGCGGCTAATTGCCATGGTAATGGGAATTCCATTCCAAAATTTACTGTGGATTGAACACATACTTTTCATCATAACATGTCCGCTGATCAGATCTGAAACTTTATCCTGATAAATTTTGTCATGGTTGAAGGTTGAAGCAGAGCGCAATTATCATAAGAGGATCCTTCACATACTTGATCAGCTTGAAGGCGAGGTATGTATTTATTAATTCTTTTTTCTTAAACGTTTGATTTTTGTTTTCTTGTTCCTGAACATTATTATTCTTTCCAATGTTGCCGGATCTAGATGTAGAGGATAAAGTCTTATACCAATTATGTAACGTTCTTTTTCTGTTTTGTAGATGCTATCTGAGCGACAACGGATTGAAGCAGCTCCTAGCCCCACTGTTGATAACAGCACTCCTCCACCTCCACCTTATGAAGAAGCTAATAGTTTATATGCTTCACATACGCCTAATGGACAGGCAAATGGCATGGACTACTTTTTGGGAGAGGTCAGGAATTGATGATCTCATGGAACCACTGCTTTTTGACAAAATGCCACTGAATTTTTCTTAGAAGCTGTGAATACGTTGATTTACGTATTATTTGACTTGCCTGCAGGTTATGCATTCATATCAAGCTGAATCTGACGTTGAGCTGAATTTGTCAGTTGGTGATTATATTGTCGTTCGAAAGGTACGCACGTTGATTGAGCATTGCTTTAACTGCTTTGCTATTACTTTCTTAGCGGAAACTAGGGATTGCTGATGATTTGAGATGGAACACGTGCGGACTTAGGTTAACAGTACATCCTTATTAAATAAATCTGCGGGCCCTTATCCAAGACCGTTTTAAACATATAACTTGAAGGGTATTATTTTGCATTTATGTAAAGATGTTTCTGGAAAAGAGTGATATCTCTGTCTGGGAATTTTTATCTATGTGCGTGTATTTGTTTATGTATACATGTATAAGAGCTTGTCACCTGGTTCAGTGAAGAAAATTATGCAGCTAAATAGATATTACGTCCTTTTTTTGGGGGGGAAATAATTATGGATGGAGCTCTAGCATCCAGACTGATTAGAATTCTATTCTAGATGATGCTCAAAGCAGTAACATTCTTTTATAGTTTTTAACACAATATAAAGCTAGTTCAACTTGCGCGTTTTTGATGACTTGTATTTTGGTAATGACTTAAATTCGCATTGAAGTTTCTTATCCATTTGCGGTTTTAATTTTTTTTAATATTAATTTTAAACAAGCTGTTCTTAGTGTCCATTTATCAAGTTCTTTAATCATTTGCAACAATTTAGTAGTCTTAGATTTTATTGTTAAACGTGTTTGCTTTATACACATTGAACAAGTAAGGAGTGATTTACCCATATGGCTTATGATTTTGACCAGGTTTCGAACAATGGTTGGGCTGAAGGTGAATGTAATGGAAAAGCTGGCTGGTTCCCATTCGGATATGTCGAAAGACGGGAACGTGTTCTTGCAAGCAAGGTGGCGGAAGTCTTCTGAAGTTTTCATCTGGGTTGGCTCCTGACAAATTTTTTTGTATGTGTATGGTTTTGCTTTGTTCTTCATGTATTCAAAAGGTGGAGCATGTTCAAACATATTTATATATACATATTAGAAAGCCAACCCACCTTTACATCTAATATAGATTATGAGTTTCAATCCTTGTTCCTTTCGATTGATATATGAATGCCGATTGTTGTTTATAATTTTTGAGTTTTCCTTTTCAAGGTTGTAATACAAGCGTTATCTGATATTCTTTTCAAAGCCGAGGCTTCTGTTCTGCAACTTTTGTATTGTTTGCCGTTTGTTATTCACATTATCTGCAATGCCATGTTACTCATGTAGTCGCGATTGCTTTTGTCGACTTTCTAGGATTTTTTTTTTTTTCCTGAAATTCGACTTTCATGTTATTGTTCTAAACTGATAAATACAATTGTTTGACTGTGGCACTGAGTTCTGAATATTTTGAAGAAGTAGAGATTTGGTAAAAGGGTGTGGCATTGTTGGTTAATGAGCTTTTCAATAACTGGCAGTTCTAAAAAGCTATCGTCTACTTCAAAAAAAAAAAAAAAAAAAGTTACCATGCCATTATATTTGTTAAATCTAAAACTCCAACTTCAATTTTATGGTTAGGGATCAAAATTGTCAAAAAGAAATAAAAAATTATGGTTAATCAGTTAAAAAAATTATGGGAAATTCGTGTTGAAAGACAATAATAGTTGAATGACATAGGGACTGTTTGAATGTCGAAAACTGAGTAAGCTGAAATAACAAATTAAAACAAATTAAAAATCAGAGTACACACCCATGATTACATTCTTCCCTAATTCATTTTGATCATTCTGTTTACCAAACACTACGATACTACTTTGGAACCTAACAACACTTGTAAAATTATAGTTTGATACACTTATAAAATTATAGTTTATCAAACGCTTAGTGACTTTGCCTCGCAAATTTTTTTTTTTTTTTTTTTGTGCATAACAACTAACAATTCTTTCAAAATTCACAGGGTAATATTGACAAAAACCCTTTAAAAGTATATGAGTTAAGATTTTTACTTTTTACTCTTTATTCATAACCCTTTTAGTCAAATAATTACACTAACAAAAGAGTATTTATTAAACGTAAGAAGTAAAAGTCTAAACTCATACATCTTAAAAGTAAATTCTCCATTTTTTCAAATTCACAACACTGCCAAATAATACATAAGTTGGCTAAGTTTTGAAAAATCTTTAAGCTAAAATACACACTAATAAGAATTTTTGTTTTTTCACATTTAAATCTTCATGAAGAATTCCTCAAGCATTAAATGTAGAATGAGCGTCATGGTTTGTTTGTTTGTTTTTTTTTTTTAAAGCAAGTGAGGGTTATTATTATTATTATTATTATTTAATTAGCAGTTATAACTTTTGAATTCCAAGTGATTTAATAAGATTTTTGGAGTACTTCACACGGTGATCACTGCACTTAATCGTTATTTATTTGTTTATTATTTTTTTTATGCAAAGGACACTTAATCATTATATATTTGTGTGTATTATATATGAAAGAGAGTTACAAAACAAAAGCCTAGGATTCTATAGCTCATTCCTTTGTATAACATACAAATTCCAGTTAGGGAAGCTACTTGCATGTCATGCTCCTAGGAATGGAGCTAGAGACACAAATACAAAGGCTTTACTTAGATTACACACAATCACACAAATATTTCCTTAAATATGCAACACAGAATAGCAACATTTGTTTTCTAGTACAAGGCATGTACTTTGTGAAACCAGCCACTTATGCCTGACGTAAATTCATAAACGCCACAACTCTGCACAAATCAAACAAGAAAATCTATTGAGAGGAAATTGATAGATTCTATCTGAAAAGCAAATGATTTTGAAGCTCATGCTTAATCTTACAAGGCAAGACTCACTAATTATTTGGCCGGTTCGCTGAAAGGTAGGCAAAAATGATGGCTAATATAATGAACAAGATAATCTGCATTGAGATTGAAGATTTAATTAGTCCATGTGTTTTGAAATTAGCATTCTCTCTACAAAAAGAAAAATATTAGCAGAAACTCACCAGAGCAGAATTGCTTGATCCGTTCTTGAGTACATAAGATTTCCTGAAAAAATATTGGAATGTGTCAACCAAAATGAAGAAAAGACTCGACTGTTCGATGTCCAAACGGGCTACTAAAAATTATGAAATACCTTTTGTTAAGGGTCCCAGAGTCCCTGCATGTTTTCTGTATCGTTTCTAGCCTGCTCAATGTTTTCTTTGCATTAGGATCATTGTCGTCAACCTGTAGTAGCCATTATTAATACAATTAATTGGGTAAAACACTTAAATTGAGGAAAATACCGAAAGAAAAAGAGGTTTGCATACTAACGGAAACACCATAATCAGAACCTAATTCTACAATTCCAATCCAAGACCCAAGGGAGCCCTTACTGCATTATCATCATAAAGCAGCAAAATCAGGATACTTCCTTAAAGATGAAAAGTTAAGGAAAAGCATTAAGGACCCATTTCCTGTGAGCCATGAAGCACTAATTAGTAATTAGTAAGTATTAAGCTTCGGTGGAAAGTTCAGTAGTTCAAGCCGCTAACCATCTATGTTTAGCAACGAAACACATACTAGACTGTTGAAGTGATATAGCCAGAGTGAAGTAGATGATATGAGGGAAGGGGATCACGTCAACCATCAAATGGCTTTTTATCAACAAACCGGACTTGGACGTTGCTGAAATATCTAACAATGCTAATGTGCTGAAATATCTAACAAGACTAATGTTTTGCAATGATCGTTTTCAAGCACTAGCAGAAAGATTTACTTCCGCTACTTTGATTGCATATATGTCTACTTGAGCATCAAATGTCCATGTCTATCCAGTAATTGACAAGCATTCTCATGAGATCACGATAAGAAAAAAAGGTGGTTAGGATTTGAGGTGTAAGGTTTTTGCTTAATACCCTTTCCTGTAACTGTTTCTCGTCAGATATCTTATCCTCTTTAGTTTTTGTAAATTTAATTTAGAAGGGGAAAAGAACAAAGAGAGAACTTAGTGGGGATAATAATTTAAAATCACACTCTTCAGAGTCAAGTAGACTTCGAGAAAGGAAACAGATTTCTACAAAGTAATATTACCTTGGACTTTAGCATACAAGAGAAGTCATAGAAAGCACCATAAACATCAGCCATCGTGTTTGTTCGATCAATTACTTTAGCAGTAAGACCTACAAAATACATGTACAATGAATTCAACGTCATTCAAAGAAGTAACTGTTGCAAGATAACTGCAAGCATGAACAAACGGCAATGTAGATATAAGACCATATCCATCTTATCCAAAAATATCCGAAAACTTAAAAGTTAAAATAGCACAAAAGGCACATGCAATAAAAGAACATATATCTAAATAAATTGGGCCGGGAAATACAGAGGGCAGGTTCCTATGGTAGGGATGCATATTTAGTACTTTTTCGTAAATGCTGTTTTCTAATTGTGCACTTTACATTTTGAAAACAAAGAGGCCCGTGGTCCAAAACAAATAAGACCTGCATAATTTGCAAATCCTAATGTCCATGCTACAAGATATGTATTGTTCGTTGTCAAAAAGAAAGCATTGTTCTAAATTAAATTATATGGCACACACTATTTAAGTGCATTTTGTTGTCATACCACAACAATAATGTATGTTCTTTCCCTCAACAACTACTGTCACCTGTTATACACACAAGTTCCCTTTCACTTGTAGCTTTTGATTTTATTTATTTCATCTACCTTGCGTTCAACATCAAAACAGTATGTACATGCTGAAATCTTACCACGCCTCATCTTCACTACACCTCTGAAGACTTCAATGTTGTTGTAGCACATTGCTAGAGTGCCAATTGCCATGACCTAGCAAAAATAGCAGAGATAAAGTAAGTTTCATACTTCTAAATACAAAAATCATTGATTAATAACAACCGTTAGTTACTCAGATATATAGCACACATAATAGTAAAAGAATATTGTTCAATTGCTTTACTAATTGATTAGTTGTTCTACACAGCATGTTACGACCTTAATGCCTATGTGGATCAGAAGAGACATTTAGTTAGTTACAGTTAAAAAATCAGGTTAGAACACCTTCTACCTGAGGAATAGCACAAAATCGAAATATAGCTGGATGTCGCAAGGCGGACATGTACTTCAAGCAATCCTCCATATGTAATAAAGCATTAGTGACCATGTCATTTAAGCACTGCACCGCCTTGACTGAATTTTCCTCATCTTTCAAGTCCTGACGAGGGGAACATAAAAAAATACCAGTTCAAAAAAGGTGTTTCTAGCCATAAAATGATGTCTTAAAAATACTACACAATGGTGGGAAACACATAATGCCACATATACTGGATCAAAATCTTCCTGATGGTTAGTTATAACTTAAAATGTTTACTACCCTAAGAGCAAATGGCAGTTAGAGACAGATAATATAAACAGAGATCATATATAAAAGAGATTGCACCTCAAGTTTGTTAACATATTTACTCCAAATTTCGCGTGGCCAAAACATGCGTGACTTTGGTATCTCATTAATGTCTTCCAGATAATCTCGAATGATGTTAGTTTTCTGGGGTGATGAGAACCAGATTTAGTAGCATTAGAATCATCCTGGCAAAAGTTGAAACTGGGAGGAATATACAATCTTTTTGCTTCAAATATCATTGCTAATTTGCTATACCTGAAGAAACAAGCCCATTGAATTTGACAGAGAATCCGAAGATAAATCTTCAGAACCAGAGGCATGGAAAAGCTTGGACAAACCTAAACCAACAAGTCCAGCTACATAGTGGCAATATTCATCATAGTCATCCACTGTTTCTACCTGCAAGTGAGACGAAATACAAGGGTGTAATTATATGGAGTTCAAGAAATCGGGCAAAACCTGTGTTGGATATAAATTGGTCCATGCGAAATTTAGCAAATGTACATCTTAATGCATGGTAAACATAATTGGAGTTCTATCTACTTTTAAACACTTCATTGCAATAATTTGCATTCAGATGGTGAAAATATACTAAGCTCTCAGTCATTGGTAATTGTATCACCAAACAATGATTTGTTTGGGTGCCACAAAAGTTGCAGATACAAATCCTTGAAATCAGTCTTAGCTAGGTTTAGACTAATGGGTTGACCACATTTTACTATTGCTGGAGTACGTGATGACTTGCCATGCCAAACACTAATCACTGTTAAAAACAAGGAGTGAGGGAAAAAATATATGCAGAAAGATGTTCAGTAATAATACTAGAAGAAAGATCAATGTGGAATCACCGTGAAGAGTCCCAATAACAAGAATAACTTATTAATTAATTATTCGTTTTGGTGTCTTGGAGGAATGAAAAACATGAGGCCAGATTATACACCCCTTATTTCAAGATAATAAACACATTACAAACCTCTTTGCAAATAAATTTTGCCATTCCTGCGCCCATTCTTTTGGTAATATCTTCAATTGCCTCTTGATAGCTGCAAAATTGAAGCATTACAATAATATTATTATGATACTCGCCGAATAGAATTACAAACTCTTGTTTTACAATAGTAAATGATGGCAGTAAATGATGAACTGTAATGCAACTTCCAATTTCTAAGCATTGTTCATGACCTGAATTGTAAAAACAAATATGTATATAAAGCAGCAAGCCTTTGGCTCCTGATTAGATCAACAGGATCGACAGATTGGTAAAAAAAAAAGGAAAAAAAAAAAGAAAGAAACAATAGCATATAAGGTTCTTGTCACTTTGCAGTGGAAAGAACTACAACTTGATTTATTATTTAGTTAGATTAGAAATATCCCATCCCCAAAAAAGCAATAGAACATAACTAACACGCACACACACAAAGAAAGTGCAAAAACGAAAAAGAAAAGGATAGGAAATAACATATCCCAAGGTCCTGAACACATTTGAAATATGATGAAAAAATAAGTCCTAACCGCAAGTTTTTTAATATGGATAAACGAATGATGAACAAAGGACATAAAGAAAAGAACTAACCCTTTCCCTAGTTCAAGAAATGCAGTCGAAACATGATGAAACTGGTCCATGAGAACTTTGTAGTCCTTTGTACCACCTAAAAACAAAATAAAGTAATGAGCAAGCAGATCATGTTTTTTTATTTTTTTAATAAGAAAACAATCTTTCATTAAAAGTAACGATATGCCCAGTCAGAGCCAAAAACACAAACCAGACATGAAAAGAATATAATAAACAATGTCTTTGAAAGCAATGACGAGTTGACGACTTACCTATATAAAGAGTTCTTTAACTTATTAAATGCTTAGTAAATATGTGATTACAATGACAGTGAAGAGGAGAGTGGTGAGATATCAAAACACTTACACGAAAAGTGCCACTTGGGATTATACATGTGACGATAAAATTCTTTGAGGATAGGCACTTTAACATCAGTCGGTATACTCGTATCATCCTCTGTATAATCGATCAGAAACAAATTTATGTTATTGTGAATCCAAGTTAATAGTGCTAGTGTGATCAGAACTGAAGATGAGGAAGAAAAATACAAGAAGAACATGCAAATGCAGCTCTGCTAGTAATAGCCACTAACGTTGTTTAAGATAGTAGGAGTTTTCCAGCTTAATTGAGATATATGTTGCATCTTTTTTATTTTATTTTATTTTTTTATGAAACAAGATGCCGGAACTAGAACCAAAAAACTCACGGAGAGTACGCAATAGCTTAAACGGTTGCAAAATCTCTCAACAATATTTCACAGCTACCACACCAACAAAAAAAAAAAATAATGATGATTTTTTTTTTTTTTTAACCTAACTGTGATAACAAACTTTATTTTTTTATGAAACAAGATGCCGGAACTAGAACCAAAAAACTCACGGAGAGTACGCAATAGCTTAAACGGTTGCAAAATCTCTCAACAATATTTCACAGCTACCACACCAACAAAAAAAAAAATCATCATTATTTTTTTTTTTACTTGAAGCCCAAATGTTTAGTAAGTGCAAGTCCGGGAGGCAGCGCGTCAAAGCTTACTAATTGGAAAAATTAAAAGGGAAACTAATTGATGTGGATATATAAGATGGAATAAATCAAATTGAATCTACGAAGTGCAAAGTTAAGTAGAATTATATAGAAACCATAAAATTAAAGATAATAGGAACAAACCAATAGTGTCGAGGGCTCGAAGAACCAGATAAAAGATACATACCTGCAAACCACAAAATTTGACATGGGGATTTAAATGTTGGTGAGAAAATATAAAATTGAAATGCAAATATGAAATTAAAAAAAAAATGAAGCAGAAAAAAGCATCTGCTGCACGAAGTGATAACAGTAGCATAAACAAGAACAACCAGCGTAGTGGCAATTATATTGGAAAAATATGAAAAACTTGTAACTTTATTTTTATTTTTCTTTTATAATAAAACTTCCTTCCATTGACCATAAAATCAAGTACACAAAAGGGGACCATGGATCCATAGAAAACAGGAAAGGGCAGAAAACCAAAGAAATACAAAACAGAACGGGGAAAAAAACAAAAAATCAAAGCACCCTATGCCATCCTTCCAATTGAGGACAATCAAAGAAAAAGGAAAATCCTCAAAAACTTTATCCGTCGAAGCCCACCAGGAAGCTGAAAGCTTTGCTTTTTCATAACTAGTAACTTCATTAACATTGATAATGCCTACTAAACCATCAACATAAGATGATGGTTCTACAATACATTTTATTAGCTCAAGCCTTTTAATTTAAAAGTATAACGCAGGAATTCTTTTCACATCACTCTAGTTACTAAAGGTTAGAGAATGAAGGGACATGAGGGCATCTATGAAATTAATTGTTCCCAATTACTTCAGAATTGTGCAAATGTTCTGTTGTTCCATAATATTATACTTGCTAAGATTTTGCATATTATTCACTTTACATAGCGAGAGACTTCACAAAAGTAGAGGGAAGGGTTCAGAATTCATGGAAAACAACCAAGTTAAGAATGTTCATGAAAAGTTGCAGCAAGAATATGAAAAGATACTCCATCTTTCCTTCTTTCCTTCTTTCTTTTTTCTTTTTCTTTTATTTCATTTTGTTGCGGATTGATAACACAGTTTCTACTTGCTCCTCCTTAAAGGGGTACAAGAAAACCCGAGCTGCGTCATCTACCATTAGAACATGTATATAAAGTCGCCTTTCTAAATACCGGAGCTGGGAAAGTACCCAAACACTTGTAACGACATTAATGAATTGCAAGTAGATGCTCATAAATACAAAACAAGAAGTTATAAAAGGGATTTAAACCTCCCAATTTAGGAACCATATTTCTCAAACAACTTCACAATTATTGTTTTACAAATTAATTAGATGTTTTCCACAGCTATTAGCCTTTACGGTGCTGAAATTATTGTGTTCGGTACCGTGGAATGATAAATGACGTAACGTGTGTACATGTCTGTCCTTTAGTCATGATCTTTACAGAAAAGTCCTTTCTTTTCCTTTCTTTTCTTTTACTAAGGTCTTTCTAAAAAAGTTAAAACTTGAAAGCTATAAGTGCCTGTTCTAAAATAATTTTATTTTTTTATAAAAATAAAAATAAAAATATTTTTAATTTTAAATAAAAATTATTTTTAAAAATACGTTTAATAATTTTATTAAGAGATTATTTTCAGTATAAAAAATTTATTAATATCTCTCTTTCTGTTTGAGAAATGAGAAAATAAAAAAAAAATAAAAAACGACTAAAAATTATTTTTCAATTCTCTTTCATTTTACACTATATTAAAAAAAAAAATTTATTTTTATTTTTTATCTTTAATTGTATTGAACACCATTTTAAAATCATTTTCTTTTTTTTTTTTTTTCAAAAATCATAAAAAACAAAAACTAGAACAATTCCAGCACATATATTTTCCTCCTATGAAAAGTCAAAACGTTGAGGCCTAAGGTAAGTCGGTGCATTTTAGCGTCGTTTGCTCTTAGCAAACGAAATTGCCCTTAAAATAGTTGAATCGAAATTTGAAGGCTGATGGCTTTAGCAATTAATTTCAGACTGAAAAACCCATGAGTCTAAAAAGTTTCTATATATTCTGTGCACTAAATCGAGATTTTTTTTTCTTTATTTTCAAAAGACCTTACTGACTCATACCAAAAATCATCAATACTGAAGAATTACAATCATAGAACTCTACAAACCGCCAAATAAGAGTCGAGAAATGCTTAAAATTGAAAGTTCTCATATTTCAGACTTAATAATCTCAAGTCATTTAGAAAAATCTTGATTAAAACATCACCCAATTAAATTAACATTTATTGAAATCCGAAACTACTCAATTAGACATGAAAATCGTAATCGGACAGAAAAATGAGATTCCACATTTTCGGACAAGGATTCGCATTGCCAAACAAGAACAAATTCCAACACAAATCGCACCAAATGGCTTCCAAAAGAAACACAAGAAAAATAAAATAAAAAAATGTAAACGGAATTGCGAGAAATGAGAATCGGAGACTTACGGCGTCGCGGAGGTCGGGGCCGAGCTGTTGAATGACGAGAGCGAAGCTTCGAGAGACCTTGTGAAGCATGGAGTAGCAGAATCCCCAGTGCGGCTCCGGCGGGATCCGCTTCTCGGCGTTTCTGGCCGCCATTTTCAGCTTTATGAGCGGGTAAACGTCGTCCGGATGCCTCAGAAGCGCTCCCAAACTCCCCATTTCGGAAGAATATCTCCGACGAAGATCTGAAAATGGTGGAAATTAAATCCCTAATCCGAGAACAAGAGAGAAACTTCGATGGTGATTGATCCAAAATCTGGCGTCCGTGAATTCGCACGAAGAAGAGTTTAAAGAATATATATTTATATAATCTATATATATTTTTCAATCAAAAAGTCGTTGAAGGAGCGACCAGGAAAACAAAAGAACGGATCAAGTAAAAGCGACAGGAATTATTTATTTGTTTGGGAATTTTTTTTTTTTTTTTGGCTCTGAATTCTTATATTTTTGTTTGGGAGGTTGAAACTTGAAAGAAAGAGACTGGTTTTAAGCTGTGAATTACAAACGAGTTTTATGGTGGAGAATTTTTTTCTTTTTTTCTTTTTTTTTTCTTGTGGAGATTGTTTATTGGAGAATAATCATTTTTTCTTCTTTTATGGTTTAATCAATTTGTATATATTTTATTTTCTGTAATTTTATATGAATGTTTAAAAACGACTACTTATAAATATTTCTACCGTAATTCTTAAAATTAATATAGTATTTTAAATAAAATACTACGCTTAAATAATTAAATATTTTATCATTACGCAGTTTAGAATTACTTTTTTGTTAGTATTGTATTTTTTTATACTCCGCCATAAAATTCTCCTTAAAAAAAATACAGAATTACAAATTGTTATTAATTACATTTTTTTAAAGGGAGTTGTTAATTACATTTTTAAGGACTCCTAGTTAATTACTTGGGCCTAATTTTTATTTATTTATTGGTTGAATATGCTTATTTTATAATTTATTTTCTGGAGTGTATATGAGTGTGTTTGGAATTGATTTCGTTTTTATTTTTCACGTTTTTTAAAGAAAAAAATGAAAATGTTTCTAAAACGGCGTTTGGTACAATAAAGACAAAAAATGAAAATGAAAATGATTTTTTGATTTAATGTAAAATGAGAGAGAAATGAAAAACGACTTTTAAAAAAGTCATTTTTTATTTTATGTTTTCGTTTTCTCCTCTCTTGAGTAGAGAGAAAGAGAGAGAGGCATTAATGAGGTTTTTTATATTAAAAATAATCTCTTGATAAAACTACCAAATGTATTTTTAAAAATAATTTCTGTCTGAAATTAAAAATATTTTTATTTTTATTTTCATATAAAAAATAAAATTATTTTAAAACGATGTTTCAAACGCACCCTATGTTTCACGGATTACACGAGGCGAGGACGTGAAAAGCGATTTTGAGGGAAGTACAGGTTCTAGCGAATCGTGAACTTTGTACAATTTCGGTTGCTTTTTGCAGAGGACTTGTTTCGATGTAAGTTTTGATGCATTTGCGGTAGAGAAAGCTATTTTACAATAAAAATAATTTTATATTATAAATTTTCAATACGGATATATATAAATTTAATAATTAAAAATTAATTTAATTATTAAAAATAGTAGTTCATATTATTAGATCATCTTATTTAAGTAGATTAATCTTTTAAGATAGAAGTTCAGTATCTTATAAAGTGTAATTTTTCTTTTTCACTTCTCTCTTTAAACTCTATATGGTATCAAAGCTCATTGCTCAAACGAGCTGATTCGATCCATCAATATATAAGATTAGTAACTCCTAATGGAGCATCATCTTACGGGGGTGTGTTAAGGGTAAAATACGAGTCTCACACTGTCTAAATATAAATATAATCAAAGTATTAAAATATTAGACCATTCCACTTAAACAAATTAACTTTTTAATATGAAAACCCAATACTTTATAAAGTATAATTCTTTTCTTGTGAAAATTGTGCAATTTACCCATTAGAGTGAATGAGATTGGAATTTTACCCCTAATTTTTTATTAATACATTTTTATTAGTATAGTAATTTGACTAAAAATGTTATTAATTAAGACTAAATAATAAAAATTTTGACTCATACACTTTTAAAAGTTATTTTTTTCTTTTCCCTCTAAACTTTATTGCTTCAATGAGGCTGCTTCTTTTAGTACAAGATAATATGATATGCTTTCTAAAAAAAAGAAAAAGAAAAAGAAAAAGAAAAAGAAAAAGAAAAAGAAAAAGAGAGAGAGAGAGAGAAAGAAAGAAAGAAAGGAAAAATATAACATGATATGAAATTGTTGATTAATGAAACAATTATAAGTTATGAACCTTTTGATCTTAAACCTTGATCAGCCGCAGTGAACTTTTTTTTTTTTTTTAACCTAACTGTGATAACAAACTAACCTTTTAAATTTTACCTCAAGTGAATAACCAAAAGTATAGATACCTTTCAGCCACACACTTGACACTCCAAACTATAGTGTTTTTTAATATTCTGAAGTAATTGAACTTCGTTTAAAATTTCATTTTCTTTAATTGAACACTTATTAATTAATTGATCATAAGGAAAGACGCATGGCTAGTAATTAACGATATTAAATATATTGATCCCAACAATGATGAGAAATTTAAATGTGACTATAAGATTAATAAATAAAGTTTTAGTGGGTCTAATGTGTATATTTAGATATGTATTATTTTTAAAAACAAAAAATTTGAGTGGGGGTTTAAGCCCCTATTAGACATTGAGTAGCTTCGTCCATGGATCTCAAATATAGAGACAATGACATTATTTAATTTGTAATTGTCGAAAATGATGTTGGTGAACGTTGTTAATGCCATAAAAAGTCATATCTAACTTTTTTGTTACAGTAAAAGCTCTCATATAAAATCATATCTTAATTCGAATTAAAAACTCGAATCAACGAACTAAACAAGCCTTAAGTTGCATATTTTCTTTTAAAATTGTGTTTAATTCTTGTTCTGGTTATTTTTAGAATAATGAGACTTCTGATTGTATTTATATTTCTCCTGAGTAATTTTGAGTGGAAAGAGTTTTTACATCACGGGTTTGAAATGTGTTAATTTATTTATTTTTGTTTGAGCTACAAAGTCTGAAAATCTTGGTTTGAGTTTGTAGTCTGAACCGGGTGAACTTATGAGGGGATAAGTTCTTATTTTTTTAATTTAACTAGTTTAAACCATCACATCTAAGGGCTGAAATTCGTATGTGCATAGATTGTATATTAAGGGAATGTTTGGTTGGAGGATTTAAACCATGATTTGAATCATGGTTCATGGTTCGCTGTTTTCTCTCATAAAAAATACACGTAAATCGAAAATGATTCTAATCACATGATTATATTCAATGAACCAAACGTCTCCTAAGATATGGAAGCTCCTCTTTGTCTTTTTTCTTGTCAAAACCCAAAACGGATCAATAGAATATCTCTAATAACTTTTTTTTAATAGAAAGAACGTCTATAATTACTTACTAATAAAACAAATGTGAAAACGCCGTAGAAGAGAGTAAAAGTGGAATGAGAATAGTTTCCACTCTCGTGATTTGCTTAGAGTTTGGCATTTTACCGGCCTCCAAACACCCCCTTACTTTGTTGTGATTTAATCACGTGAATACAAAAACTTGTATTATTTACCTAATTCAACACGCGTAACGTTTGGTAGGTTGAGCATGACCACTGCTTGTTTTGGACTTGGACGCGTACACTTGTGATTGGAATCTCCTTGTGTTCACACTAGTCATATTGTATTACAGTTTCATGTGTATAATATTTGTTTTGGACTTGTTTTTGTGGGATTTGAATTATCGTGTATTTTAATTCGTATTTATGTTCGACTTTAACTCGTTTATTAGCATTTTTAAAATAGTTTTTTTTTTAGGTACAAAGATGAAAATTAATGGGAACAAAAATTACGTTTTGGTTAATTTTTTGAGATATGTATATATTTAACAAATGAGAGATTATTTGGATATATTTCTGAAAATGTGTATTAAATTATATATATATTAGAAAAAAGAACCGAAACATGAAAAACCATACCATTTTTGTTTTTATTTTTGTTTTCAAACATTTGCTAACCGAATGTATATTCATAGTATGTTTTTGTTTCTATGCCTCAAAAGTAGTACATAAACATTTTTTAGAAACAATCAAAAACAATACCAAACACCTCATAATATTTTAATACCGTGCCATATTATTGGTTAGGTATAGTATACTAAAGAATTCTCACTACTTTTTAGAACATATTTAAAAAAAAAAAAATCAATGTTTTCCGTGTTTCAAATTTTCATCACGATAAAATACTTCATCAAGCATGTGAATTAGTGCAAGATTTTTGTCTGATTTTGTTTTTTTGTTTGTTTTTATTATTATTTATCTTTGTTACCGCTATTGATATGATGTTTTATGTTTGAAAAAAATACACATATAGTATTTTTAGGCCATATTTATTTCGCTGATTTGAGTTTTGTTACAGTAAAAAGCTCTCATAAACAACCACATTTAACTTTTTACTACAGTAAAAATCTTTCACATAAAGTCACATCTCAATTCGAATTAAAAATTCAAATTAACGAACTAAACAGATTCTTAGTTGTCAACTTTGCATATCATTCAATTATCAAAAAAGAAAAAGAAAAACTAATGATCTATTACAATAAACAGCTTCTATAACACCGAGTCTTAAGAATTTTAAGAGCGAATAATGGTACTATATATGAAGCATTAATATTATTTTTTCTATTTTATATGCATTTTTAGATAGTATTAGATACATTGTTTTTTGATGTTCATTTCATTATTATTACTTTTTTTTTTTTTTGGTAATGATGATCATTTCATTATTGACGCCAAAGTATACTTCTGATACTCAAGATATGATGTCGGGACATGTGCTCTTCTCTTATAGGAAAAAAGTGCCACATGGTAAAGCTTAATGGCCGTTTGCTTCATAAGTCTAAACCAGATAGTTTTTAAGATTCGTTCGATTCGTTAATTTAAATTTTTAATTTGAATTGAGATGTGATGTTGTGTGAGAGTTTTTTATTGTAACAAAAAAATTAGATGTGACTGTTTTGAAAGTTTTTTACTGTAACAAAACTTGAATTATAAACTCGAATCAGCGAAAAAAACGGGACCTTAAGTCAAAATTTTAGATTTTTGCTAGACAAGTCACTCTAACAAAACTATTTAAACTGAGGTTTAAACTTCTTTACCAAACATGCCATAAAAGTTTCCCAACTGTTTCAAGTTGAATAGAAAAAAACTTTAATCATTTTTTAGTTGACTGGGTCCGCACCAACACGTTTTGTTTCCAATCTTTGACAATTTGCCATTTGTTTCAGGCCTAACTTTTCACGGGAACTTCTACTGTGGTATCTGTCCTTTTTATTTATCACTTATTTTGATCATTGGATTAAGATTTCAAAAGTTTGATACGTGAGTATTAATGTTACAAAATTTATAATACACGACACAAAATTGTTACGATTACATATCACGATGTTGAAAACTTAATTTAAAACAATCGTAGTTATTGGT